AAAAAAAAACCCTTCTGAGCACAGATTTACAGACAGCAAAAACACTTTTTAAGAAGACAAAATAAAGTCGCTAGAAAAATTTTTTAAAATTTGTGCAAAAATTCCCAGCAGCTATAATAAACACATTTCAAGTATCTGTGTCTTTAGCTTTCCCCTATACGCAAGGGCTCTCTCATGCTGCAGGATGGGAAGGACTGTAAGAAATTTCAGCAAGAAGAAACAGGATCTCTCCTTCTTTAAATAACAGATCAGAGGTACAAGTGAATGGACTAGGACTTCTTACAGGAATAATTCCATTTTGGATAATGCTTGTGCACATGAAGGTTTCTCTTTTGCTGAATCAGCCTTCAGTCAACATGCCTTACTTGTATAAATCCCCAAACCCAATACAAAAATAGCTCAGCTGTCCAAAGGCACCAGGTGAGTACAACTCATTTGGACTGACATAATTTAAGAATCTCAGATTGATCTCTTTAATTTTCTTCCAACCATTAAATAAATAACCTCTACAGGCCTATTGTCCTGGTCCTGATTCAGCTGAAATAGACAAGGACAATCCTGAGTCAAATCCCAGAGTGAGAAATAATTTTTTGCTTCTGATCCTGTAGATTTGTTCATGATCATTTCTAGGGATCTTCTACCCTTTGCTCTATGTTCACAAAACAGCCATTCAGGCTAACTTGCTCAGCAAACAGTATTTGCTGGTAAGGCAAGGAGTGCTGCGTCCTCAAATGATTCATGTCTCTCTCTTACAGCTTATGGAAGCATCAGTTATTCTTTGCAATATTCAGGCAGAATGGCAGGACAGTCAGTGTAACATCAAAGTTGTCCACTGCACTAAGGGACAAACTTAGTACGCAGAACAATTTAGGAAATGATTATAATTTGTTATAACAGCTCCATATGCAAAGTACTATGCCCTTTTCTACCAATCCTTTCAACAAACCCTCTGAGAAAGGACAATTCTCATGAAGCTGTCATCTCCCAGCCAGTGGCATTCTCTGCTCTAAGTATTTTAACCCTCTATCTCAAGATGACAGCGGGTCCTGCCTAGAGGCTTAACTGCAGCTGTCCACAATTTCCAAAATGTCCAAAATGTAAAAACCAAACCAATTAAAAATCAACGCAAGAGATGGTGGCCTATGGTTTGAGCAGGAACTCTGGAGATTGTGCTCCATGAGGCTGTCCTTCCTGAGCCCAGATAACGGTAAAATGGAGGAGAGGCATCAGCTGGAGGTAGGCATAAGATATGTATGTCAGCATTGCTAAAGTGTTGGCTCATACCATGCTGGCATCAGATTTTGTTCCAAAGGAAGGGATTTCACTCTTAGGAGTGGACGGAGTCCCAGCATCTGCCTGGATAAATCCTCTTCTATCTATTAAACTAGACAGTTTAGATAAGGAGGGGAAGAAAAAGAAAAAAAAGGTTAGATTAATGATTAATTAGCCAAATAAGAAGTAATGCTAAAACAATTAAACAGCAACAATTCTCTCATTTATTCCATCAGTTCATTATTAAAGATCAGGTGGGAATTCCAATTGGGCTTTTAATCACAAACAAGAAATTAGAAATTTATTAGGGAATTATGTAGAAGTACAAAAGTATGTAGTCTACATAAGCTCATGGATCAATCTGTCTGTCTATCTGAACTTTTAAAAGCAAAAATTGCAGTTGGCAAACCATCAAATAAACTCAACGTATCAAATGTCCATGGCATTTTTCAGGAAAAAGCGATCAATTGTGAGCTGGGTAGCCATATAAACAAATAGCCAAAAATTGAGAAACGATCTAATAAAATACCTCCAATCCCTAATTTAAGAGACAAAAAACTGCATATGGTTCAACTCTGTCCCACCTGATTTGCACAATATGGGATTCTACTGAAATTACTTTAAAATACTGTTAAATGCTTTACACTTTTTGCAAGGTCAGAGTTCCATCAGAATATTAAATCTTATTCTCCATTACAACTCTAGAAATAATAAGTTATATACTAAGGTCAAACCATGCAAAAAACCAAACAGAAACACAAGACCCCATTCAAACTATCCTTCCAAAATACAGCATGGATAATCTCTTGCTCAACAATTTTTCCTCTTGTGTATATTCATGGATCTTCAATATTCTCTTGAAATAAATGCTGAAATTACAATAAACTGCCCTTTGTTTTGCCTAATTCTGATCCCTTGTGACTAAATATAGTTATGATGGGATTACCAGTGAAACACTAGGCTGTTAATGCAGCATCTGATCTACAGGGAACTGTATGCCAAGTGAAAACTCCTCACTATAACTGTCAAACATCGTTTTTTATTAAAAAGAGGTAGCAGAACAAGATGGGGAATAGGGTATTTAATCAGCTCTACTCAAAGATCAATTCCAAACAGCTTATCTCTCTGAACTGTCTCCATTCCAGCAGGTCATTATAAATAATATTTTATAAAAAATTTGAAAACATTTTGTTTCAGGGATAGATTACACTGGAATATTCTGAATTTCCTCTGGACGACTTTGATCTGGCCGTTCTGGGGACCATAACCTTTGGGAAATTGCCAAACCATCCCTGGAACAGCCAGATCAGAGTGGTCTGGAGAAAAACAGAATATTCTATCTCCCCAACAGAACATTTTCCACACCTGTTTTAACTGTAAGAACCGATACTTGAGTTGCTTCTCTTCATCTCTTTTCTTTCTTGCTGTGTCTAAACTGTAACTTCACAGGCAGAACTTGCTTGTTTATAGATCCTATGTAAGCCATTTACCAGAAACACATCCTTTTCCAATGAAGACTGACATCATTACACTATATCCTAACCAATTTCCATGATTAGGACAACCATTAGGGTGAAAGAGATAGCTGCCTCAAGAACAGGCATCATTAAGTAGTAGCAAATTATATTTTTTTAGTCAAGGAATGGAAGGTGAACTTAGATATTTTGTTTCAGGCAGAAAAACATATTGAGCCAGCTCTATATTTTTCAACACTTAATCTCCAGTCCTGCCCTTCTCACTACCTTAGCTCTCCTTTCCCCCCTTTTCATTTCTTACTGCTTTGATTTTCTACGTCCACAATTTACATGAATGTATACATTGCGTTATTTCAATATTTTACACAAAGGGAGCTACCAGGTATCAATCAAGATACCAAGTTCTTCCACTTAACTCTCATTTTTAGAACACATATATGTTTCTCACTGTGAATGGTGGGTCATCCTCATGTTCATGATGTACTGATTGCTTCTCTCTTTTTTTCTACCTGCATGAATGGCTGCACAGAACAGGAACAAAAGACAGCCACAGGATCATCCATCAAGCATTTGAATATAGGTAGTCCCCAGTTTAAGAACAAGTTCTGTTCCCAAGGTTGCTCCTTAAGTCAAATTTGTATGTAAGCTGGAACAGTATTATTGTATAATACTGTATAAGTAGTATTGTGTAATGAACTCGAACCATTGTGTATTTAACTTGAATAGTTGTGCATTTAACTCAGATTTTGCTACAATAGGCTCTGTTCTTAAATTATGAGTCATCTGTAACCTGGGCATTCTTAACCCAGGGACTACCTGAACAGAGTCCATCCAGAAACATTTTTCCTTACCTGGGATAAAATGGTCCACAGAGTACTGCACAGCAGTTGGTCAGGACACTTTTATAGCTATAAGGGTTGGCAAATTCAGAGCCTCTCTTATTTGACCATGCCCCCTTGAGCTACAAATCAAAAGAGATTAACTGGTTAGAAACGTCCAGAAAATCTTTTGCTGGTTTGTCTTTACTTAGATGATTTGTACATGCATGTGTAGGAATTCAGGTTACAAAGCTGATGCCATAGGTGTCTGCTACAAGCCAAGAGGTCTTCCCCACCCCCAAAAAAGACAAAACGTGATGAAATGTCGCAATGTAAATTCTTTCATATTTGCATCCTGATGTCAGGTGCAAGTACATAAACCACTGGGTTTGTGATATCACAAGGTACATTTTCTCACTTGTCCCCCCCCCCCAACACAGATATCTTGAAACATTCATTAATTTAAGTAAAAGTCAGCTGTCCCAAATCACTGGCTATACTCTCTAGACATTACAGGAGGCTATAAGTTGAAGTTGGCTGATCTAAACATTAGAAAAAAATTAAAAATTCTTTTACTAGAAGAAATAAAGGCCTTCTCTTTTTCCATATTTTGGAATGTATAAATGTCTATCCCTTCACCAACAACCATAAATGTTATACTGACCCTGCTTTAAAATGAAGCAAGAACATTTTAAACATAATCTTGTGCCTGTTTAAGAAACTGATTTAAAGCTCTAGTGATGGCTATTTGGAATGTTCAACTTCTATTCATTGAAAATAATATCCTTACTCACATCCTCATTGGTTGTCAAATTGGAGGCAATTAAGTAAGTGTGAAACCCTGAGAGGCCAAAAATAGACCAGACTGAAAAAAAACAAATCACCAATTCCAACAGAGTAAATGAAGAATTAAGGAATAACACTTGTGACTGAGGAGCATTCATTTTCCTGAAGTTCTGTCAAACTTTTACCCTTAGCCACCACCCTCCAAATGCATCTGAGCCACTCCAGCATAGTTTTTCAAGGAAGGATGATATGCAAATAAACCCAAAGAGATAATTAATGTTATAATACATTCATCAGGGGAAAATATATTCTGCACTTCAGGACCAAGAATCCCCAGCTATTTAATACTTTGCTATTTAATCCTACTTAAAAGATTTTCAAAACTGATTTACAAAGCTAAAACTCATGAGCAATAAAGCAAATGATAGCCACAGAGTAAAACAGTGCAGCAGCAGCACAGCTACACAGCCAGGTTCAAACACAGATTGAAAAAAAGAACTTAGGAAAATCAAAAAGTCCCCATCTGGCTTTAAGATATTAAATTTGAGATAGGTCTGTCTCAGCTAATCATCAGCAAAGGATTACCTCTACAGAGGGCTCTGGATTTTTATTTTTATGGTTTTTGAGTCACCAAGCTGCAGGACCAAATGAATACCAGACTTTAGGTTAGATGGACACACCTGCCAAAAGGGAAAGGGATAACAAGGGTCACTATCCAGGCAGAAAGTCTTCTTCAGTCCCTCCGACAGCCAACCCCAACTTGGCATTCTCTACATGTGTTGGGACTGTAACTCCCAGAACTCCTCAACTGGCAGAGGCATCCTAGAAGTTACAATCTCAATACAACAGGAGGGTGCCAGATAAGGGAAGATTCCTAAGTATGATTATTTCTTGCTGAATACATTCAGAAAACACCATCAAGGGTTTTAAAATGGGAGAGGGAAGAAAGAGATATTGAAAGGATATCTTGCTGGTGTTGTTTTCAAAACAGTGAGGAAGTCATTTCCCTGGGAGCCTGCAAAGTAAAGACACACTGAGATAAAAGAAGGAATGTTCCTTCTCTAGCCACAAAAACATACAGAAGATTAAACAGTGCCAATCCCCAGGATCTCAGAAAGAAAGAAAGGTTTTGAGCCATACTAAATAGTAACTCCCTCTTGAAACTGTCTTTTTTGGAACTACGGATGTTGTAATCCAATATACTTAGATTGGGAAAGGGTTAGTGTATAGGACTGCCCAAGTTTAGTATATTAACTAATCTATGCAATGTTATTTTTGTTACAAATGTTTATATTAACACCTTTATTTGGCTTCTGCGGGGCACATATTCATTTTAATTCATTTTAATTTATTTATTAATCACAGGTATTATTACTTTCTACATATTTAATAACTGCCCCCTGTCATTAAAAAATACAGTACGGCAGCTACTTTTGGAGCAATTCTTGGGTTTAAACCTGAGGCTTTGGAGGGGCCAATATAGACCTGAAACCATAGTTCATGCATATCTATTCTAAATAACTTTCTGCAGTTGTGGCTTAAGAAGACCCACACCTTTCTAGAGATCTGTGGAATACAACTTTGACAACAGGCTATACTTACGCAGAGCAAGATGGGTGATGACACAAGCAAAGATGAAGGCTGTTAGGAAGGAGAGAGAAAGAATGAAGGCATAGAAGAATCGATAGTTCCGCTTCCCCACACAGTTGCCTACCCAGGGACAATGATGATCAAATCGTTCTGAGGAAAAAAGGAACAAAAACACAATATTAAAGGGAACCACATTTCACATGCCCAAAGAGAATGTATACTTGGGGTGTACAAAATTTGCCAATCTGGGAACAAATATGGGAACAAATTGTTCTAGGAACTCAGAAACATATGACTGTTTCATTTTATGTTCACTCACTCCAGAACATGCCACTGCGGGTTTAATTTGTTAATTTCTGGAAGTAATTCCTCTGAATCAGTAGCAGTTTGAGATGTTCCAGGGATGATCTGGCCCTGAAACAGTCCTGTTTCATCTAGAACATTATGTTCAGAACACTTAGAACCACTTCTGGTCCAGAGAATTTACTTTAAGTCACCATGCAACCACCAGTGCAACACTGTGGTCTGGAGGAGGTTTGTTGTGATCTGGAAGGAAACAGAAGCTTTTGGGGTTTTCCAGAGTAATTTTCCAGATCAACAATCTTGTACACATCCCTCCTGTAACTTACAAGTGAAGCAGAGATCAATTTTAGAGGGTCAGTGTAGCCGACTAGTTAGTGCTAGACACCGAGAGACCCCATTCAGATCTACAGTCAGTCAAGGGAATGAAAAGCTAATTTACATCTTTCAACTACAATTAACATGTTTGTTCAGAAAGTAGGATGCCAGATTTACTCGTAATGCACATACACACTAGCTTCCCCACATACTGAACTGTCTAAAATAGGCTGTAGAGGACACAGGGAACAGACAAGAGAAAGGGCAGAAGGATCAGTTCTAATATGGGTTCTCCAGAAGTCCAACTGGCAGATATACTCATCAGGTTTGTTGAAGCAGCAAACAAGTAGGAATTTAATTATTTGCAGCTTACAATGCTATACATCTGGCAAACCTTTGGGGCTTAAGAGTGAAAAAGAAGGGACAAGAGTGAAAAAGAAGCTTCCAATTTAAGTCAATTGGAAGCATTCATGATACAGTGGAATACTTCTTTTCTCTAAGTAGTGAAATGACAGTGTCAAGAATGAGTTGGCCCCTAAAAGTAAATAAATTAGGAACCAGCAAAGTATTATGGTTCCCTGGTCCACAATGAAACTTCTCCCAGAGGATCATTTTGGAAAAAAAAATGCAGAGAGGCACAACAATTTCTAACACTCAGCTCCAAACCAATCCATGGCTGGGATATGGCAAAGAAAGCTCATTCATGAATATCAGGAGGAGATATATTTATACCTCAAAGGTATGAGTTATTCTACTTTTAAGAATAGATTATCTTAGCTCCCTGATAGCTCCCCTTTCCCTTCGGCACTCTTATTCACATATCTGGAAAAACCAAAATTACACGCTAAAACCATTAAAAATCTTGACTGTCTTGACAACTGCCAACTTTTTGGATGGGAAGATGAAAGCAATCAAATCACATTCGCATTGCAGACCCATCTGAGGCATTTTGGAAAAAAGACCAATGTATAGAGCCAATATGAACCCATGTATAATTATCCAAAGTCCTATTTGCTCCCCCAACCAGCTTTCAACAGATAAATTACTAGGAACTTGTTCTCAAATCAGTCATCATTTCTGTATTATCTACTCTATTAAAATGTGTATTACTCATTCTATAGCATCCTCACAGTCAGGCACATTATGTTTCCAAGACAAAGGTTAGTTGTCTTACTTATTCAAGAAATATTCTAGTTGTCTAATGCCATCTGGACTCTAATTTACCCACCCCATAATAGCTTATTCTGTCCTCTGCTCCCCAGTATGCTCCTCCATTTTCACAATCCTGCTTAATAGCACAGTATATATTGAAGAAAGAGCTTATGCACATGTCTGAACACTTCACCACTTGTCATACTGAAACCCTGTTGTTGGCTTTGCCAGATATGGCTGTTCTCTCTTGCTATGCAATTTAATCTAACATTAGGTGTAGTCATATAGCTCTTGAGTCAGTAACTGTGTTCATTGTTTAAAACCATACGATTATACATGAAATTGGCTGAAAAAGTAAATTTGCATTCAGATTGGATTCCTGAAAGTTTACTCACTGCCCTCAGTAAAGAGGGAAAAAATTAAAGCATGCAACAATCTACTTCAAGAAGCAGTCGCCTCACCCACACCTTCCCCTTGCCCTAAAGAGTGATACATCATGGCAAGGTTTAGTAGTTTGGGTGTGTCCAAGGCTTTGGTTCATGTCTTGATATGCCCTGTAACTCTTCTTCCCAGCTAATGCATGCTACAGGAATATTTTATTATGACAAATGCCTCAAGAATGAAATACATTAAGAGCCAAAATTTTCTTAAAGAAGAAATGAGTTTGCTACTTCTTTGCTCCTTAAGGTTTCAGTAATTCTCATCATCCACAATATTTGCCTGTCATCTGTCCTTGCTTGCAGTCACCAAGTAGACCCTAGCATACTTAAGCAGTTATTAATGCCATACATTTACCCATTCATCTTTTCTTCCCAGTGGATGCTCTTCAATCAGTATAATGTATCCATGTTGTGACCATGAAGAAAGGCTAAATATATCTTACATCATATATTTTCACTGTTACACCTCAATAGAGAGATCTTTAAAGACAATCTTTGCTCTCCTACGACAAAGGCTTTCCAGTTGGAAGTCGATACTCTTTTTCAGAAAGATGTTTATTTGGGTGGTGATTTGTTTGACAGAGGCAAGCAGAAAAAATGATGGTTGGGAAAGAAAAAAATAATTAACAAGCTCTGGAATCTTGCTGATCTTGAGGCGAAATCATGCCCAGCGCCCTTTATTCTTTATTGCTCAGACTTTTTAAAATACTGTTGCAGAGCAAAGAAGGCAGCATTCAAACTTCATACTTTACACTTCACACATTAGCATCCAGGCATATTTCTGAACAGGAGGCACTTCTGCGTAGTATCACAAAAAACCTTGATAATCCCCTCTTTGAATCATTTTATGTGAGTTTGGGAAGGTTCTACTTGAGTAATACTCCTAAGCAGAAGCAGAATAAGGAATCCCTCTCTGTCATTCTCAAAATTGTCCTTTTAGGAACTATCAAATGTAAACAAGGAATGTGCAGCACAACATTTGAACTCAAATATTTCTGGATTCAACAAAAGCAGAAAAATAACTTCAATGGAAACGATCACCCTGATGGTTCACAAGATAGAAGTCTCACTCTGCTCTTACCAACACAATTGTCACAGACACTGCAATGGGAAGTCCTGGGAGGACGGAACATTTTGCATGTGTAGCAATATTTCAATTTCACCATATACTTGTTTATTACAACTTCCATGGTTCGGGCAGGTGGCCGATAAGTGGAAGTGCCGAGGTTGTCTGTGGAAGCAAAAGTATTTACCTATTAGACTCATCCAAGATTTGATTAATATCAGACTGAATCAAAGGACTGGGTGCAATTTGGTAATCTTCTACCAAGTCCCCACCTAAAGTAAGATCCACAACCCATCCACATCATTCACTGCTGTCTCTCTGAAATGATAACATACTACCTGGACTGTAGCAGGCCACAAATGAGAAACAGAATCTACTCCTGAAGCAACTATAAAAATATATTAATCCTCAGATCTAAGCACCATTAGAATGATTTTTAGGTTCGATGGAGTGGGATGTTCCAAACAATCCATATTCAGAGTCATCCACTTGAACTGAAAGTTGGTATAAATTAGAGTTTTAAAAAGGCCCAGGAAAATGCATGTGTATAAACCACATGACCTCAAGACTAAAAGAGTCCACACAGACCTTTCTTCATTGCTTCTGTTAATATTGCTGTAGCTACTGCTTTAAAAAGATGAACAAGTTGACTGATGATGTACAATGTACAATTTTGAGAGTAAGTTGTCTCTAGGTTCTACATGCTATGGTGATACAAATCTGGCTGTAAAATTCAGGCAAAAGAAAGCACTAGGATAAACAAAACATTTCAGAATTAAAATATGCAACTATTTGATTATGGATTCCTATCAACTAGTTATCTGCTAATTATTGGAATTATTGCAAAGACTAAAGGATAAAGTAGCAGTGATCTGATTCAACAAGTGCACTTTTTATATCTTTAAGCAAAAGTCAAGCTTTCAAATTTTGTTTACTGCACTTGTTATGTGTTTTAGATTGCCTGCATCACATCTGACAGCAAATTTAGTGAGTGACCAATGTCTTGCTGTTCTTTCTGGCAATTCCTTCCAAACTCCACTTCCTAAGATGGGTAGGATTTGCTGTTAGCAAATCTGGTTACAACAACCATTTTAAGCAAATAGAACTAAATTGGTAAAACTCACATTTCCCTCTTGCTGCAGAATGAGAAAGCTAGAAGTAATCTTGGTTACACTTTCCAGAAAAAACCCTTCGCCCAGTAGCAACTAAACTTTAAATAGGCAAGTAGTGTAATCAGACCTGATAAAGAATATACATGTTCTAATTTAGAGAAGAAAAAAACAGAAGGGAGTTTTCTGAAATGGCAGCAACCAGAGGTTTAAAATGACGTGTTATGATGTTGTAATACAAACTCTATCCCTTAGATACTTGCATGCCTCATCATGAACCATATAAAAAGTAGTGGCGTTTGCTTACAATGTACACTTAGTCATTCTCCCTACTCCCTCCCCACAACCATCCCCCATGGTGACCCACAGTTCTGGCAAGAATCATCTGTCCATCCCCCAGCAGTACAGGAAGAAAAGAGAAGTGGTTTTGCTTACTTTGGACTCTGGCTTTGCCTATCGCCAACATATGACTTCTGGCAAATACCCTTGAGAGAATATGGTCCTAAAGACATTTTTAAAAATCCCTTCCCATCCCTGTCTTTAGAGTACTGGTGTCTCTCCAATTACCATCTGGTAAACCCCACCCCTACCTTCCAACAACAGATAACTGTTCTGTTATTCCTTCCAAGGATGTTTCAAGAATGAAGATGCCCAAATGACAATTCTGGATAAATACCATTAGTAGCATCCATTAAATATTTTGCTATAAAGAAATGTAATAGTCTCACCAATCCATTTCTCCAGATCTGCAGCTTCACTGGGGGTGGCCCTGGGCAAAATACCAGGATCTCTGAAGCTGGTTTGTAGCAAACAGCTGATGACAAAAAAGAATAGGATGCCAGCAATGATAGGAATGGCCATGGTCAGGTTATGAGCCAGGAATGGACAGCTGAAAAGCAAACAACACATTGTTTAAACTGAATTTCCATTCATGGCACTAACTGTCCACTCATCAGTTGGTTTCTTTTCCTGGCCAAGCTACCCCCTTCAACTAATAAATATTACAGCATAACCTGCCTACATTTTGAAGGATTTCACCTGCCAAGCTCTCTAGAACTTTTAGGAGAAAGACACAAAGATACCTATCTCACAGAGATTATTATTGTCACGATCATCCTCATCATCATCAAAATCTACATGTTGCCCAATTCCCAGCAACTTATAGCATGACTTATAGCATATTCCTGGGATAAAACTTGTTCTATACTTCTGGAATGTCATAATTTAAATCTTAAAAACAATTCTACAGACTGCACTCAGGGCATTTTCCTCTTAACATTCTTCCTAAACTAGGATCTCCCACATCCTAGTTTAATTTCAGTTCACATAGATATAACTAAGGTTCTATTGATTTTTGCTCAACTGGTTTCTTACAAATAAAAGTAGAAATAATTCTATTAATAACAGATGTCACTCCTTGAATTGGCTATGTAAAGGACAATCTTGTGCATAATCCACAATTATTTCAAGATAAATGGAAATAATGAGATAAATTATACTTGTCAAAAGCTACCAATGCCGGGATGACTCCGATAAGACCTGTTAATGTCAAGGTAGCTTCACCGATACCATAAAGCACAATTAATTCATTTGTTAAACAAATTTAAAGTTTCCCAAAACCATAAGTCTGGGGAACTCCATTGCCAGTCTGGCCACAGAGTCAAGGACCTCAGGCAAGAAGGTTGTTACCCAGCAGGGAGGTTGGTACAACAGCAATAGTCTCAACTGAAACCTAGAGCCCAACTTAACAAATAGGGTCTTATATCCAATGTTCTGTGGGGCAGCGCCCCTGGAACTCTCTCAAGTATCTCAAATGGCAACCGCCACTCCACCACCCCTACCCCAGGGTCTTGGTTGATTCCACACTTGAAACCTTCTTGCAATGCAAGTCTTCTGCACCATACAGCATTCTAAAACTCTAAAACTTACAATTTTTAAACAGAAGATATCATTCCCCAAATGCTTTTCCTGAGAGAGAAAGAAAAATAGAGAATGCTCCATGTTTGAACTGAAACATTAGGTATTTTGGTGACTTGTTCTAGAGAAGCACAAACAGTACTGGAAGATGTCATTCTTAGTTTTAAAACTTAGACTCTACAAATTTATTTGAGGTGCAGTCTTAAGATTTTCTTGACTTATCTGGTCATTATGTTTCCCATCTGTCCTATATTCTCAAAATTACTGGTAAAACAATGGTTCTACAAATCACTTTATGTTTAGGATATAACCAAAGAAATACTGTTTACTTGTTAAAATGTTATTCCCAGCTAAATGTTGCTCTGAAAGGCTGTAGTCTTTTATCTAACTAAAATAAACTGAAGTTAAAAAATACTGTCTGAAAATTTTAGTTTTTCTCAATCCACCAGGTTGTAAAATTAATTACTGCTTTTTTCCTTCCCCAACTATTAATAAATTTATTGTATGCTGCTATTCTTTCATTATGAACTTTGAAATGTATTTCTTCAAATCAAGAAAGATTTGCTTCGACCAGTTAGTCAACTCTGCTTGAATGCTATTTTTTAAAATTAACTATAAATTATTTAAACCCTTTGGAGTAAAAGAAAACCTAGCCCCAATGGTTGCATTTATTTTTAATTGCCCATTAAGTACTTGCTTTCTTACTTGCTTCGAGGCAGGATAAAAGTTCAAAGTTCTGTTTCCGCAAGATTAATCTTGCACCTGGACATATGACTAAAATTCTGGATTTTAGAAACCTTAAAATCAAAGATCTCCAAAATCTATCACCACAGTTTTGGAACCATTAGGGCTATATCTTCAGCCAATAATTCACTGTAACTTCATGGTCCTCTTGGTTAACCATGCCTGTTTCCAACTGCTTCCCATAAACAACTATATAATAGGATAAGATGCCTTATTTGATCTGAACAGAGAAGTCACTTCCCTATTAAATTATCCTTAATCAGAGGAATATTGTTTTCAGGTTTATTTATTTAAAAAATCTGTACGTCTGCCCATCTTAGAGTACAATTCTGGGCAGCTAACAACAATAAAATTACAAAAATCATAAAACTATAAACTAAAAGCCGAGCACTTCAATCATCCTCCCAAGACGCCCCAGCAACCATCCACAGATTCCCATGACTCTACCTGGGTGAAGAGCCAGGTCTTTGTGGCCTTTGGGAAGGCTAAAAGGGTGGAGGCTTGCTGGATTGCTGATGGGGAGAGTGTTCTATAAAGTAGAGTTAACCACAGAAAAGGAATGGTTCCTAGGTCCCAATAGATGGCAATATTTCAGGGAAGGGACCTGGAGTGTGCCTATCTTATCTGATCTAGTGGGATGGGCAGATACCCTCAGGGAGAGGTGGTTGCGCAAATAACCTGGTTCCATGTCATGTAGGGCTTTAAAGGTAATAACCAGCACCTTAATTGCACCTGGAAGGAGACTGGGAGCCATTGCAGCTTGCACACCAGGGGAATAACGCAGGCAAACCTAGGGGCGCCCAACACGGCACACGCTGCAAACATTGCAGCAATCCAAACAGAAAGTGACCAAGATGTGAGTGACCATGAGCAAGGCCTCTGGTCCAGAAAAGGTTGCAATTGGCCCACAAAACAAATCTGTGCAAATGCCCCTCTAGCCACAGCTGCCACCTGCTCTTTGAGCAGGAGCTGAGTCCAGGAGGATCCCCAAACTGTGCACCAGCAAAGTCCAGGGGAGTGCAAGCCCATCCAGAATCAAAAATGATATATCACCAGATCCAGGGGAGCCAAAAACCCAAAGCTCCATCTTGCTAGGGTCTACCTGAAGCAGCTGAAGTCAGTTCCTGCCCATCCAGATCTCACAGCTTCCAGGCACTTGGTCAGCATTATGACATCATCTGCCTGGCGATGGATGATACTG